TTATACTTGCCGCTGTACAGCAATGCCGTTTCCTTTGGCATTGCTGTCCTGTCATCCTCTCGCATCATCTCCCATTTCTGTTTTGCTTCCAGAAATTACTCCCAACTCCATGAGTAGGCAGAACCCATCAACTCCTGTGACACACACAACATAGGTCCGACCGCCCCACTGTGCCCTGTGCCCCGGCCATCCCTGAGTTTCTCAACGTGTCCTGCACCTGCGGATGTCGCTTCCTCTTCTCCTGGGCGAGGTGCACGGCTGGCAGTGGCTGGTCCGTGACCAACTCAGTCATGGATGACGAGGTGTGAAAGGTCTGGCGACGACTGCAAGTGCACACATTGTTGGCAATCTGGCCTAACAATGAGTCCACTGCGAGACTTGATGCGGGAAGAATCACTTGGGGATCAATCGTCTATCAGGTGTGAGCCAGTGGAATTGGATGGGCAAAGTTGGCCAACTGCAAAAAAAAAAGGACTTCAACTTCAATCTTTGAAGTAAATCTTCTGACCCCATGTGGATGCGGTGGCCCTCCAAGCTTCCAGTGGCGAGTCTTGAAGTTGGTGGGGGGTTCTAGTCCTTTAAGGAATGGTCCAGGTATCGATTTGTGAATATGGGCAACACTTCCCAATTTGAGATATCCGATCAGGGAACGACATAGGCCATGAATGGTGATGATGCATTTATATAGATCAAGATAGACCAACCAGATTGTGGAGGGCACCGTGCAAGTTCAAATGTCTTTCTCAAACACGCCCGCAGTCCAAACGCGCTTCATCTGGTCATGACGGGCTCAAACTCGCGACTTTGCGCGGTGCTGGAGAGGATCCAGCAGGATCCAGCCAGACCTAGGATGTCAAGGAACAAGTGTGGACAGGTCATGCTATGAGAAACCGCACCCACGAGGGTGGTCAATGGAGAGCCACCACTCAGGGCGGAATGTGGACACTGCACCTGTCCGGGGGTGCAAGCTAAAGCGCTTGGTAATTACTTTCAGGGGCTTCGAAAGACACTTCCCTATACGTCTCCATTCTCCACCACATGTCCACTGCAAAGTGCGTCTCCATTCCCTCTCATCCGGGTTCCCGGGCTTCAACGCTTCAGCGAGCGCCATGCAAACGAGGACCGCACATCGACCGGAGGCAGCGCAGGGTGCGGCTCTTCTGCAAACTGGCGTAATAGTCCTGGCAGCCCAGCCCAATAAGCCCCCCCACATGTGAACGACACTGCGTTTCGAAACGGAAAAAGGGGCTGCTGGATTTCGCCCTGGGAATTCCAATGCCTTCAGCTTACGGTTCCCCAAAAGTCCACGCAAGCCAGCCGGGAAAGGTGAAGGTAATGACTCACCTAGTGTTCACCCGCGCTGTCACAGCCCAAAAAAGGCCACTTGTTGGAAGTCATGGGAAACCACGGAGAAGTCTCAGTTCTGGAGCGTAAATGGTTGGAGGATGTCAGTTCGGGAGGCTACATGTTACCGGCCACCGCTGGCTGGCTGCCCCTGAAGCCTTCCAAAACAGCCCCCAAGCGCCTCTGCAGCCAGTTGCTGCAGCGCGAAGCTCATGGTGGGATACGCGTGGATGCACGAAGCGATGGCCTGCAGCGAGGTACGCAGGGAAACCCGGGCAGGGGCTTCGTTTTGCGCAGGCTTCGTGCGGCAAAGGCTTGGAAGATTTCTTGGCTTAATTGATTAAGCTAGGTTTGTTTGATGATTAGGTGATCAAACAGTCCATGTTGATTAAATAACATAAATCTTAAGGTTTTCTTCATCTGGAAAACATCAAAGAACACCAGAACACCAGTAGGAAAAAGGTTATTGTTTGACTCTTTTTGTCTGTCTTCATCTATCTTCTGTTCTTGAGCTCTCCGGTCTTAGGATGAAATGCCCTGCGACCAAGTGTGGGTCGGTGATCGATGCTCGGTTTCTTGCCAGCGGGAGGCAACCTCACCCCCCGCTGAACTCCTCGAGCTGTTCAATCCCTTTGAAACCCGATGACCAAGCACAGAACCGTTCCAGCAATTCTTCAAGCCTATCACCCCCAAACTGGCCCCAAGCTCATCCCAAAATTTCCCCCACCGACCAAGCACAGCTCAAGAACCGTCCAACCGTCCTTCTTCATGCCAACCACCAAACAGCTGTCATCCTAATTCGCCCCATCCCGTCCATCACATCCTGCAACTTCAACTTCTGCGCCACGGCCAGGCCCAGCTCGCTGGCGATCTCCCCCGCGTTGGGCGCGACCACCGTGGCGCCCAGCAGAAGCCCCGAGGAGGAGACCACCATCTTGATGAAGCCTCCAGCGCAAAGAAAAAGCCACGGACCAAAACACCATTCGGTCAAATTCAGAATATATGATATGATTTGATAATTGTTTTCAGCGGTGAGTGGATCGCCTGTTTCTCTTAAGTTGTGATACTTGATGGGAATTGAGGAGCTCGCCTTCAGTTCTTTCTGAGAATTTAAGGCCATGCACCTCACCTCCTCCATTCAGAGCGCACCTCGCGTCTCGTATTCGCAGATGGCCCGGTCCACGTGGTCCAAGCGCCGCAGGCGCGCGGAGACCCGGACGGCGCCCAGTTGCGTCACGGCCTCCGTGAAGGTCAGCCCCACCTGACGTGGGAGCCAAAACGACTCCATGGGACTGCCGCAGACCCTGACAGGTCGTGTCTGGGCTGTATCAAATCATATCAAATCCAAGACGTTTGTGTTGCTGCCACTTCTTCACCCAACAAAACCACCCACATCCTCAAATCCCACTTCACAGACCAGGCACAGTGGCCACCTCTGGATGTGTGAAGGTGCATCGTGGCACTTGTCCACCCGAAGGTCCTTTCACCTGGGGCCATTGTTGGGGGGCGCGGATGGTGGGGACGGGTGCCCAAATGTGTTCTGTCTTGATCCTTTTTTGGAGAGGGGAGGGGGGTAGTATGACCAGCGATGGCGGCGTGGGGGAACTCCTTCGCAGCGCTCCGAGATGTTGAATGGGGAATGGTTTGAAATGAGAATAGCAGAACATGGTCTACGCCATCAAAATGGTCAACATGAAGTCCAAGGTTCCTGCCTGCAACCCGAAACAACTGTTTTTTTGGGGTCGTATTGAAAACAACCATTTTTTTGGGTCGTTTGAAAAATGCGGTCGTTTTATACGTTTTTATACGGTTTGCATACGGCCTGTATATGGTCGTGGTTCGAAGAATATACGGTCGTTTCAAAAAGAAACGGATTGATAGTTTTTTCCGTATGTTTTTCAAGTTTTTCCGTGTTGTTTTTCATGTTTTTTCCCCTACTGTTTTTTGCTTTTGCTTCTGCTGGGAGTGCTTTACAAGCACTAGGAGCAGCAGAAAGGGCAGGGGACGAAGCACCAAAGCCAGCGTGACAGTGACAAAGGGAGGGAACAGAAAAGGTATTACACTTAGTAGGGACTTCTTTGCGGGTTGTCTTTAGCTTCACTGGTTTCGGGTTTCTTTGGGCTCGGTTTCTTGTCTTTAGGGTTTCTTTGGGCGTTCTTCCGGAAAAGGCATCCCACTTAACGAAGGAGAAGTAGGAGGAGAGAGGAACTATAATAGGGACTTTTCTGCGGTTGTCTTTGGGTTTCAGTGGTTTCGGGTTTCTTTGGGCCAAGCAAAGTAGAAATCCACCGTCAACGCAAAGAAAATAGTAGTTGTGGTAACGCAAAGAAAATAGTAGCGGGGTGGCCCGAGTGATAGGTATTGGAAATAGTAGGGGTGGTGGACGGTAGTGGCAACTATTTAAAAAAAAGCGGGAGGGGGTGCGGGGGAGGGCGCAGCGCCTCCCCCGCAACGCAAATCAAATATAGACAGCGCTGGGCTGCTTCGTTTCTTGATTGGTGTAATTGGGTGTCAAAGCTCAAGGTGAAGGTCTTATCATCCAACTTTGTGGCAGTGTCAATGCAAAGAAGATAGTCAGCAGTCAGCAGAAGCAAAAGCAGAAGCAAAGGCAGAAGCAAAAAGCAAAAGCAGAAGGAAAAGCAAAAAGCAAAAGCAAAAAGCAAAAGCAGAAGCAAAAACAAAAAGCAAAAGCAGTAGGGGAAAAACACGCTAAACACATTTCCGGAAAACACATTAAGAAAGAAAAAACAGAAAAATAGGGGTTCAAACAAATACGGTCGTGGTTCGAAAAATATACGGTCGTTTCCAGATGGTTCGAAAAATATATGGTCGTTTCCCAAAAATACGGTCGTATACGGTCGTATACGATTTCAAGAATCACAAAAAAATCAACCGATTGATATGCGTTGTGCATGATGTAATTGACAAAAATACGGTCGTTTAAGAACAAACCATGTTTTATCGTTCTACACATATACGATCGTTTCAAGAAACAACCATAAAAAGGCAGTCGTTTCAGGTTGCAGGTGGATGTTGCTGGTCGCTCTGGAATTGTGTATCTGGACACAGCCACGTTGTGTGTGTGACACTGGACTTCAGTGGATACTGATGGCTAAAAACATCTAAAAACAATTGGTCGTGATATCTCGTGATCCGTGGGTTAGCAGGGAGACCATCGTGCCCACTTATTCCACTGCCAGATCCAAAGGCTGCATCTGCTTGTGGATGTTTTCGCAACAAGGATTCAGCCAAGCATTTTTTGCTGACCGCGTGGCCAGCTATACCTTCATGTTGCCTGCTTAGGCCGGCTTTTTCAGTAATTAAACAAAATAAACAACAAAACTGCTGAGGCCTGGTTTTCTGGGCAAGTGCGTCCTCCGCCCGCGAAAAACCCATAACTCTCAATTCCCCAGTAGGGAGGTCATTCCGGGGCAAATCTCCGTCCCGGACCATCTCGCCAAGATCGAGCAGCTTGGATCCCTTGCACGCAATTGAAGGCGGCCAACGCGCCCTGGTATCCCGCTAGATGGGTGAACTGAAGCCCACCCAGGCAGTCGCCCACAGCCATGATGTGGCGCACATTGCTGCGGAGCTTCTGATCCACAGGGATGCCGTCCTTGCGTTTCAGGACGCGCTGAATCAGCATAGGAAGGGAACGAACGCGCAAAAATCGATGTTCACGGAATGCTTAGACACCCACGCAACAGCCTGGACAACACCCACGCGCCAAATGGCGCTCCAGGGAAACTGGGATGTTGAGCGGGTGGTCATGATCTACTTCAGGAGGACTGCAATTTTCAGCCCCATTCACTCTTCTGGATCAGCAAAAAATCACTCCAAACAAAGGACAGGACATAGGACAGCCCCTCTGCTGGCCCATCGGGGCTTCAACTCTGACATGACCCCCCCTGGGACTCCTTGGTCCATCGCACTTGAGCACGTTCCAACTTCAGCTTCTCCAGGTTCTGCGGCCGTCGCCCGGCCGCCACCAGCAGTGCCGCGCAGCGGAGCTCACGATCACCCGCGCGAAGTAGGAGACCTGCTTCGCGTCAGCGGGTCAGCGGTGGGAGGGCCATGGCTTGGTAGCCCAAAAATCAAGGGGAACTCCCTCCAGACCATGGCTAGGTAGCCCAATGTCACTGCGGGGTCAGGGAGAGAGAGCCATGGCTTGGCTGTGGGAGAGAGCCATGGCTGTGACCACTCGCTCCCCTGTGGTCAGGCGCTCTAAGTTCCGGCTCGACAGGTGAATGGGGAATGTGGATATCCCCTGCCGACCCTCAGGTCACTTCCGCACCCGAATCACAACAGCTAGGTCCATTGGTCCAAGGCCTTCGATTTTGCAAACACCCTTCGAGGAACTTTTGCCTGACAAATCCTACAAAAGGAAGGAACATGTCGCGCATGCTTGCATTGCAAAGCACCGTGTTTATGATGAAGAACTATTGATGATGGAGCCGAGCTGAACAAAGCCAATGTACCTTTCACATACACTCCATGCGACTGGCATATGTGACTACCTTGGGCTGGCTCTAGCGGGGGCCGTGGGGCAATGAGTTAAGGTGTATATACACAAACCATTTGACATCTTGTTGTTTTAGATCGTTGATCCTCGAAAATAGGGGACACTCAGGTTCTAGGTGTGTGTGTAGATATCACTTGGGTCTATCCGTTCTTACCTGTCACAGTGAAGACCAAATGGTTCAGTTGCAGGCCTTGTTCAAAACTTGATGATTTGCTTGTTGACGGGTCCTGTTACAGGTCACTTCGGACAGACCCGAGATATCACATCAGACTGCCAGTCCCCTGGATGGTCGTCTTGACCGCGCCTCCGCCCTCGACGCGCTCGACCGAGTCAGCGCGGGCAGCCACCACAGTGATGCCCTCCTCAGTGAAGATCTCTGTCATGACTCCTGTGGACTGAGATCATCCCATCTGACGGTAGCAAAGCGCTCGCGCTGCTCCCACAAATAGCTGGAAACCATATGAAGCATATGCCACAGGGTTGGGAAATCACATGAAATAACCACAGGGAAATAACACATCGCCTTATGAAGCAAAACCAGGCTGATGAAGAACATTCCATCAGTGAACATGGTGTTTCAGCTCCGGCGCTCTCCCCCTGCACCAGACTTCGATCGTATGCGTTCAGTGCTTCACAGGATTCATGAAGAGAGCCCCATGTGTGGTCCATGTTCGATGAGGCTCCAAGCATCCTGGGCATCCTGTGATTCAGGGCTGGGAACCAATAACGGCATCTATGAAAGAAAGTCAAGCATCCTGTTTTAGAGAGGCTGGGTACAGCTACAAGGCCCAGGGGCCCCAGCCAAGCGTCAAATTCACAACACCTATGGACCGGCCTACCTCCCGGAATGAAACTACCCCCTCGTTTGTAGAGGGAAAGTGGTCTTTCCCGGGGCCATGCTATCTACTTCCATGATTGTTGGAGGGGATGGAATATGATCTGAAGAAAACAGTTTGGAGGGCAATATTGGCTGTATCCATGTCATGCTGTCATGGTCCTGATTGTTTTCTATTGGGAGCTTGGAGCCCCAGGCCTAAAGTGCCAAACAATCCATGCAGCAAAAAAGGAACACCTGTGAGCCTGTGGGGTGCTCGCAATATCACATATCACATCCGTTGTAATTGGATATTGTTTAATATTGTTGATAGGCATTTGACACATGATGACACATATATGACATATGGGAAGAATTGAACTGGGAGTTGATTTTCTTGGCTATGCTCACTCTCCACTCAAGTTGCCCCGCTCCTCGCACATCTTCATCTTCTCGTGGCATCAGCTTGCCCACAAGGGTCACCTGGCGCTCGATCGTTCGCAGCGTCGATGTCGAGCACAGTTTGCTCCAGATTTCTCGCGCAAGCGTAGCAAGGGCTGCCCCTTCAAACAGTTGTTTTGACCTCTTTCAGGTTGGTTTGATTCCTTGCTTTGTGTGAATTGATCGAACTGGATATGTACCATCTGCCCAGCTCATCCAAACATGTTCAACACCTCCCAGTCGCTGTCCCCTGCCCTTGACCGCTAAAAAATGCTAAAAACACGTCGATTCGAAGGCCTGGACGCCGAAGCGTTGCATCGCTTGTGCCAGCTCAGCACCAATCGGGCCGCCACCCAAAATACAAAGGCTGGATGGCAGAGCGTCGAGGTCAAAGATGGTCTCATAGGTGAGGAAAGGTACCTTGATTTCTTAGAGGAATAGGAGGCCACAAACGACTTTGGATTCTGAAAGGTGCCTCTTGGTTTTTGAATGTTTTTGGGATCATTTTCTGCAGCTCGATGGCATGACTCAGCGGACTCAGTGGAATAATGATGGCCAAATAGTAGAGGTGCTCTAAGTGCTCTAAGACACTTTGGGCAAGCTCTTGCTTCTGGCTCGTCTTAACTCAAAAAATCTCAAAACATCTAACAAGTCTTGATTTGGAGGCGGGTCAGTGGAGCTCTTGTGGCTCCGCATAGTGCGCAAACCTGCACCAACCGACCTGGGCATCTATTCAAGGTCAATCCTCCTGAATCAGGTCGAACACTCGCACCCTTTGTTGCACGGATTTTATATGATTTTATGTCCGCTGAGGCACATCCTCGAGGCCTTTCACGGGTGGCAAGACAGGGCTGGCACCTGCCATGCGGCGGATGTGATTGGCAGGGGGGGCGTTCGTAAACCAAGCTGAAAGGAAATGAACAACATTGATTTGCCAGCTGAACGATACCTGCAATTCATGTAATGTTCATCTATGTTATCATATAATATGTATTTGTCTTTGATGTAAGGCCTGCCACCATTGACTCATGATCAATCATCACAGCACCAACCGCCAAGCTGCGCCTGTGCAAAGGATGAAGTGCTCCGCAAATACCGTCTCCACCGGCTCGGCACCAGTGTCGCCTTGGGCAGCACCGCTCTCTGGGCCACGTGCGCACGCGTGGTCAAGTGGCATGTGAAGGGGGCTTGGAGTCTGGCTAAGTGGCTGTGAACGGATGTGCCAGAAAAACAAACAAACAAACAAACACTTGTAATTGTGGGTTTGATATTATTTGGAACAGGTGAGTTGTGAATGAGAGTATATAGAAACACGACACAAGGGTCTTATCTCCCCAAGCTCGAGCTTGGCCAAACACGGACCAGGCCGTGCAGCTGGTCGGCTGAGTCAGCTGGTCCGGAAAGGCCCTCTGCAGCCATCTCCAGACCCTAGACATCTAGTCCTACCACACCTTGAGGCTTCGGTAGGCTATGACGTGTCGAACAGAAAGCCCTCTCAAAGGGTGGTGGATGGAGTGCCACCTGCCAAGGTGGCCCTCGGCCGAGCCAAAGCCAGGGTCATGCATCCCACCGGTCGTCCAATCCCCCACTCGTCGCGGCTCGGTTCATATCTGCAGCTTGGCCCAGCTGTTGGGGGGCATGTACGTGCTAACCATTCTCGAGTCAAACACTGGGGGTGGGATTTCTTAAGCCCACAAGGTACTCCAAGGATTGGCAAACCACTTTTTCTTTCCCCATTCCTGCACCACCTCCTTGATTTTTTATATATTACAGTTGATAATGCAATCACTAGACCGACGACTCCTACCAGGACCTCCAGTGGAGTGGTGTTTTTCTCCCTCTGAGGAGCGCCAAACACTCCCAAGAGGGGAGGCTATCCGAATATCGGTGTCCGAACCACGTCCAAGCGACCTCGAAGCCCGCGTCAATGCAACGTCAAGGCGCCTGACGTGAGCTGAATCGTCTTGGAATCCAGGAAGGATGCGTGACAGCCCACGCGCACCGTGACCCCTGCAGTTTCCAGCACTTCGGGGCTGTCATCTTCTTTGTAAATGAAGTCCTGAGCGTGGAACACACATGGAACGGCAAACAGTGATGTGCCTTGGTCGTTGGCAACAACAGGTTCTTCAAGCGTATCAGACTGTTGAGCTTCTTTCATGAAGGACGCTCCTGAGAACATACACCTCTTAGGGACATGTAAGATGTTTGTTTCAACCGAGTGAGTGCTCTCCAAAGGGGATGCTCTTTATAGTGTGATATATAAAACGTAATATATATATATATATATTGAGGGGAAACCTGAGGCATATAAAATAACGCAACGCAAACTATTAACCCTTTGTTTGCACCTTTTCATGTATATACCTTTTCCATCCTGTTCCACTCTTCACAGTAGCTCATTTCGCAAGGCTTCGCCTCTGGGTTCGCCTTGGAACCTCCGACCAAGGCACTTGACACGACTTGATGTGCTCCTTGACCTTTTGCCAATTGCACTGGAGCTTCTCGGTCTCAATACCTTCCACTCCCAACAGCTGCGCCTTGGAGCGTGCCTCATGGAAGGCGTGCGCGCATCGGATCAAGGCCTTTGATGGAACGCAGCCAAACCAGGTGCAATCACCTGGTGGAGGCGCGGCCGCGTGGTGGAGTCGCGTTCTTGGGTGAAACCGTGGCAAGAGTGATCTTGAACCCCTTCGTTTTGGGGGAGCCTTTCCATTGGAGAAAGCGTGAACATGGACAACTGTACTAGGCCCTCCTTAAGAGGTGTGTACTAAGAGCCCCCTTGGAGGCAAGGGGTGTCATATATCACCACCCCTTGTGGGTCTTGGTATGTACGGGGATCAGCACGCGACAGAACCTTTCACAAATGGTTTCCGTGAACTGGGGAAAGCCCACCCATACCCACGTCACCCCATGTCAAGTTTCCTCTCCTCCGAATTCGGCATCTTCCTGGACGGTTCACCTATACACCAAGAAATTCCCTCCCTCACATCACAAAAAGAAGGGTTGCCCAAAACAAATATATATCAGTTCACCGCGCGCCGAGGCGTAAGCGCGCCATCATGCATGGATGCATGCGCCCTGGGAGATCGGCGGAAGTCTTCGACCCGTGCCGGACAGCACCTCCCAAGCGTGGCAGGCGTTCCACCAACATCGTCTTGGCTCCGAAGCGCGCCGCCGTCTTCGCGGCGGTGAGGCCGCCCGAGCCGGCGCCCACCACCACGACGTCGTAGCGGGTGGGGGCAGCCATGGCGGAAGTGGACGCTGCACGGCAGTGGAGGTGCTTAGGCTTAATATGGGAGGAGCTCTAGAATCAGTGTTGAAGGTTAGAGATGATCCGAGGTTAGAGATGATCAGTGGTTCGGCCGTGAATGCAAGTAACCCCCGGGCATAGAGAATGCCTACCTTGTCAGGTACGGTGATTGGAGGCACTGTTATGTAGGTGCCAGGAGGGTCGGTTTGGAGGGTCCAGTCGTATCTTCTGAGAAGGTACTTCGACCCCTAAGGTGTGGATTGATGGTCTGGATTGAATGGACGTGACCAGAGAGATGGATTACGGTCTTAGAGTTTCTCACTCTCACTATCATGATATAGTCACGGCCAGACTCTGCACAGAGATGGAGAGGATTTGCACGTTTCAAATCTCGTCACTTGACAGCCGCTCAATGTAGAATCTTAATTGATCTTAATTGATAATTTGCCCCCCCAATTTCGGTGGTAAAACATGGTAAAACCTCTACGTCAACATACAAGCTGCCCGCATTCTCAAGCTGCCGGAACAGTCCACCAATCAATGGAACTCCAACTTGCAGGAACCAGATTGAATCCTTGCAGAGTCCAATGCTTTGTCGACATTTGACTACCGTGTTGACCAACCAGTGTCGCAAAAGTTCTCCACAACAGGACAGGCCCAATAAGTATGTGAGACATCTTCAGATTCATGGACCTGTCAGAGAAACGGACTACCATACCTCACTGCCATACCTCACTGACATACCTCACTATCAGAGAAAAACCGTGTACTGACTACAAAGTATCTATACAAACGGACACCTCACTGAGACCCCTCGACTCGACCAGATCAACCGACACTCCCGCCACAGTACGACGCGCACAAATCGTCTTGGAGCAGCGGCCGACAGCGCGGGGTCGTCTGGTGCAGCACCTGACTGACCAACCGTCCCAAAGCATCGCGCAGAGACTCGCATGGCTTCATGAAACAACCATGGGCCCGCTGCAAAACGCGCAAAGCACTACGTTTTGGTGAGTAGTGAGCACCTAACACTCATGTTGGACAAAGCCTGTACTACAAAATGGCACGACCTTCTCTAGCTAAGATTTGTCAGTGCTTCGCACTTCAATTTTGTACTGGTGTTGCACTTATGGCTGCAGCTATCTGCACTACATTATGGCCTGAGGTATCCAACGGATATCAAAATCAAGTGCTCTAGACTATGGTAGAAACTCAACAGCCATATCTCCAAAAATGGTTGCTACAAAGTTGGTGTTGACTCTAAATACAAATAACATCGTGGACTCAAGACACCCCATGTAATATATAGGACATGGACACGGGATACGACCACCTCATTAAATTTGGAGGCACTCCTGTTAACAATCAAAACTGCTGGAAAAAGCTTTGCCTCAGGTCCGTTGACGGCCCAAAGTTATATTCTACAAAGCCCCGTTTTTTGCTCTATGATCAAGTCTTCATGGGTCTTTCATGTCCAGTGAGTAGCAAAGCAAGTCAAGCAGGTGGAAGGGAAGAAGGTCAAAATGGCTCGGAATCCGAGCGCGTCGTTCAAACGGACTCAGACCGTGCAACCGCAGACCCTGCGGGGTCTGGTCCGGGTCGAGGTGACCCCGTACGTGCCCGACCGACTTGGGGAACGCATTCGAGAAGAGCCAGGCCCTTGCACTTGGTCTTGGATTTGTCCAGGAACCTGGAAACATATTGCCAGAAGGCGGTTTAAACATACCCAAACACTCCATGGGACTGCCATATATGCCTACATTGGGGTGGTTTGAGGGGTCAATGTAGGCATATATGGCATACATGGAGTGTTTGGGATATATATATATATATAAACAATCACCATACTCAATACCAGGTGGTTTTCTATCTTTTTGGTGCGCATCCCCGGGCGAACGTTCACAGCCCAGGCCACCACCTCGTTCACGATGCCGTTCGTCTTGCTGTAGCTTCCATTTCAGCTCCTGGGTGACGGTAAGCGAACGGCAAAGCAAAAAGCAAGCGTGCTGGTTCTCTCAAAGCATGTTGGTCAACCGCCGACCGCCCAAAAAGAGTATACGGAGAGAAGGCAAGTGGTTAGTAATACTCGCTTCCAACTTTCAGTTCTCGTTTCATGGCAAGGCCTGGAAGACTTCAGTATATAAGCTATAAGTGCACTAAGGATCTGAGGAGCCTCAGAATAAGGTCACTTTCAAGAAGCTGGTTGACAAGTTGATGACCATTGACCATGGGTTTTGCTGAATCATTTCGGCCGATTCAGTTTGCCGTCCCTGGATCTCTAGCAAACCTTTTCGCAGTTGGTTAGACCTTCCCAAGAGGCACAAAGAAGTGGAACGGGGCAGGTGTTTTGGAAAATCTACACGGGAGTCGTCCATTTCAACACTTATTGTTGTCAGGGTTGTTGTACCACCAACGTCCACATCTGCCAGTCCCAATCTGCCCCATTGAAAATGGGGCTCCACACAAGCACAGCACGCAGCCGGATGAGCTGGCCGGTCAAAACACGGGTGAAATCCCAAGTCTCGGACTGCCACAAAGAAAGACAAACACAACTCCCCGACTCTCGGCTGGTTTTCTCTGACATCAATGACTATGATTCTGTTTTCTACCCTACTTTAAAAAAAACTGCAAGTTGAAGGCACCTGCAACCAACAAAAAGTGCCTGAGCTTGAACGGAGCGGTACCAGTTCACCACTTCCGCCTCCGTCCATGTTGTGCCTGGCTGCACGGCTTTGGCGATTGAAGGGCTTCTTTGGGGGGGTCATGGCAGCTGTGCCAAAACACGCCTGCTTCTGTCCAAGGCGAATCGCCAACGACACCGCCTTTTTCAGTCTGATTCTGAATCACACCGTGCGGTTCGACAGTGGCGGCACTTATGGCAACCGATGATGTGCTGACCATGTCATCGCCGCGGGACATATCACTCCAAGAAAACGCAGGACGTGACGCAAGGTCATGAATTTGAGAACGGGGCAAGAGTCAAATGTCACGAATTGCCAGTATACGCGTCTCATGAGGCTCACCCTGGAGTGCCAGATTGGTTGGAAATCCTGAGGGCTGCCCCAAACCAAAGCAAAACTGCATATGACAGGAATACCTCCAAAATATAGAATCATACATAATCATACCAAACCAAACAATCTGACCAAACTGGCCATGGTGGTGATCTGTACCGCAAATGTTGGCTAACTGCCAAACCTTGTGCTGTGGTCATCTGCTATCCAGACTGATGCGTAAGCCAACATGGTATACGTAAATGATGCGACACATGTAAATCATAACTGATAGGGATCGCAAAGAATGGCAATCTGATCATCACCCAAACACTCCATGTATGCCATACATATGCCTACATTAGGGTGGTTTGGCGGGGTGAATGTAGGCATATATGACAAACATGACAGACATGGAGTGTATGGGTCATATACGTACCACCATGATGCTATAAAATGCGATATCATAACATATGGTTTGGGTCTATCCTAATACCTCTAACAGTGGATGATGATGGTTCAGTTGCAGGCCTTGTTCAAACATAGTAATCTATTATTGTTTGCTGGCTGTTACAGGTAATAGGACAAACCCTACATATACACTATGGTCATAAATGGTAAATTTATACGACAAAGGTTATGAGTTCTTTGGATGTCCAACTGCCGCCAGTATGCTGCGCGTTGATCTGACACTCGTTCGTCCGGCGATTGACCATTCATGTCAATGAAACTATATGTCTGTTGGCTTCGTTCGCCTATACCCAATAACATCCAATCCCACAACCTGTAATATAATCTCGTTCATTCTTGCCAAGGATTCGCTGGTGTTTCAGCCCACACCCGTCGTGTTTCTTGGCATTTGCACATCTCGCCCCGAATCCGACACGCTCAATGTGAGCAGCGGAATATTGAAATGATCTATGCGACCCAGGATGCTGGAATTTTCATGGTTGGTGTCTTGTCTCAGCACGGGAGGAAGACCACACCTGATTTCTCCACATTTGTTCCCGGTTTGGCCGCGACTGATGGCGACTGTCTTTGGGGTAGATGTTCACCCCTTCTCAACATGAAACACATCAAACATGAACTTCAATCGGAACTTTAGGGAGGATTTAAGACCTAAAGGGAGAAGCTATTTATCACTCCCAAGCACTCCATGTATGCCATATATACCTACATTGACCCCGAAAAAAAGAAAAAAACAATGTAGGCATATATGGCATACATGGAGTGTCTGGGACTTGTACATGACTTTGGTAAATGGGCCTGTACAGTTTCTGATCCCCGGCTGTAGCTCCCAAAAAAGTTTCAACCAACATATTTTGGGTAGCCAACCTCCAAGTAGAGTTGTTTGGGGGGTAGCCAGCGTTGGTAGGTAGGCTTGGTGCAGGTGGAGGTCTGGCACCTCAGCCTCAAAAAATGCAAACCCTTGAAGGGTTTCTAGGAGCCTTTAAGGTTGGCTACCTGAAATAGTGATGCTCTGAAGGTTGGCTACCTGAAATAGTGATTGCTACCTGAAAAAGTGAGTTCAGCAAAGCATCATTCGTTGAAGGAAGTACCAGTTATATTGCTTCTAATGCGTATACTGTCTATAGTTATACTGTCTACCAGATTCCCAGCAAAAGTGATGGGAACCAACCCTAGAATCAGATTTAAACTTTTTAGGTTGCAATGCCTTTGATTTTATCTTGAGTTATCGACCCTTAGCTACCACCACATTAGCACACACACACACCCAGCAAGACAAACAAAAGGCACACTACCAAACGCACACTTTGGGTGAAATAAAAGTGGTGGGAGCCAACCTAGGATCAGATTTCAACTATTTGGGCTGCAATGCCTTTGGTTTTATCTTGATTTCTCCACCCTTAGCTGCCACCACATTAGCACACACGCAGAGCAAGACAAACACAAGCCACAATAGCAAAAGTCCAGCTTGCTCTAGCTCTGTAGGTTTTTTCAACCTTGCACATGTCGAAGTATGATATTGGAAACAGTTTGTTT